ATAAAAATATATTTGGGAGAAAAAACAGTTTGGAAACCTCTTTTAGTATGTTATGACAATTATAATGTTTATGTTAACATGTATCCAGAGAAAACCTGGGGTAAGAAAGTTGCAGTCTTCACTGATATAAACATGAGAGTAGGCATTTTTTTTCTGCCATGGGAAGTTTACTTGAAATATTTTGAGATTGAACATATGTCTTTGAAAAAAAAAGGCATGAGATTTAAAAAAATTATATGTGGTCATTAAAAAAATAATTTCATTGACATTTCCTGGCTTAGTAATGCTGTTTGTAAAACGGAGAATCATAGATGGCATGGGGTGCCCACAGAACAATGGGGCGCCCACAGAACAATGGGGCCAAGGTCATGAACTTGTTCATTCCTGAGATAGCGTGTTTTTTATGAAGACCTTCTCTGGCTACTACACTTCATTCTAAAGACAAGACAGACACCTTCATTACCTCTATAACAAGGCAGATAAAGATGGCACCTTTCACAGCCCTGGGAATGATATCTAGAAACCGTGTACCTAACTCAAGCTTTGCTCAGTAACCTTGATTACCTCTTTCACAGCCCGAAATGAGGTCAATGGTGTTTTGCAGTGAACATCCTCAATGTCTACTGACCATGATTCTCCCTTCTCAGGAAGAAGCATGAGCTATGTGGGTTATTTAACTTATTTAAGCTTCAATTTAATTTCTATTAGATTGGGTTATTTAACTTATTTAAACTTTAATTTCTTTAAGTGGAGATAATACAATCTACCATGCAGAACTGTTAAGAGGAATGCAGACAAGGCGGTAGCCAACACTTAACACTTACCGTGTGCCGGGCACTACACCAAGCTTTACACAGATTGACTATGACTAGCTCCCCCTTACGAACGTGGAAATTGAGGCAAAGAGAATTTAACACTAAATAACATAGGTAAAAAGGTCAATCGCAGAGTTGCCAGACAAGATTACTAGTTCAATGTACGTCAGCCCCTCCCTCTCCCCCATCTTCCTCTTTAAACAGCATGACTACAGGATTAAAAATAAAATTGGAAATCAGGGCTCAAGAAATCAGATTCTAAATGACTCACTGGATGGAAGAGAGAAATGACTCAGGCTCCTCAGCCACAGAAGCACAGAGCACCACTGATGGAGGGACCACTGTATGATTATACAGACACACATGCAAGCACAGAGGTCGGACAATAGGATATCAACCACCCAATCATCCTCCCAACCTCTGCGTTCTAATTTTGAACACTCTGCTCTGTGCTCTCTTTCCTTCATTTGAACCTAATGGATTATAATATAACAATGTCTGCGGGGTATGAATGCCACTCAAGAGTCCCCATGGTCTGTATCTGCATATGCTGGGAATCAAGAGTAAGACTTTCACCCATTATCATTACATCGAGCTAAGTCATGCCCCAGGCCCCATCCCACTGGCTTGATGCACAGTTTAATTTTGGTCATCGATGACATTCCCACCCCTCTCCCTCACATATCCAGGACAGTACAAAGGTTCCAGAGGTTTTATAAACAGCAGAATGTCAGGTCTCCGAGCCACACTGGCTACTGCTGAGCTGCCCGCTTTGCAGGTCTACAATGGAATTCATTCATTCACTCACTCATTAATACAAATTATCGAGTAGCTACTATATTCCATACTCTGGCTCAAGGTACTAAAGATACAACAAAGAAACAGGAAGATGATACTGCTGCCATCCCAGAGTCTCTAAAGTTCCCTGAATGCTGTAGGATCTGTTCCTTCCTCAGGCTGGGGAAAGTCAGTCGTGGCTGGCAGTTAAGGTGGCTCACGAGTAGCTCCGCAAGCACACAACACAGCCATTCTCCATTCCCTCCCTTTTCACTCACTCACGAGAAGCCATGCTACCACTGCAGGACACTCTGAGGGGGTTGTCTTAGGAAATTTCTCTCCCTCTCCCTCTTTCTTCTTCTCCTATCCAAGCATCAGATCAGCCACTCAGAGGCTCAGGCTTTCAGAAAACAAAAGCCAGGAACTTTAGGCAACACAAAACTCTACTGAAACATAGGAGTTCAAGGGATTTGCTGCCATCACGGGATGAGGAGTGAAGGATGAGAATAGAGAGGAGAAAATAACATCAACGAACACACACACACACACACACACACACACACACACACACACACACACAGTTACATTATACGGCCACACATAAACACTCTTCTCCTAGAAAGCAGTTGCTTTCATTGTGAACAACAAAACATGATCTGTGAACATTTTCATTTTTCCTGACTTGAACTACACACCGAAACATTCAACACTGCTTTAAAATATTATGCCTAGCACGGTGCCTGCCACATAACAGGTGAGATAGATAGATGGAAAGATGGATGAATGGATAAAGTAACTCTTTTCTTCCTTATAAGCTATATCTCTGATGTGGGGGAAGTTGAGTAACAACTTATGGATAGCCAGCCGCTCTGAGACATCTTCTTTTGAATAGAGAAAGCTATTCTTAGCACATAAGCACTATAGGAAAAAAAAATGTAAATGTATTTTACAATGTAGAAGCATGGGGAGGAATTCTTACATTAAGACATAACAACACAGAAATAAAATTTTTTTAAATCGAAAGTAGTTAGTTTTTCCTTATCATTTTTATTTAACCTTTTATTTAGCAGAACAAGGGCTGACAAATGATTAAATCGTGACTCTAATCACATATTAATCATATAGCTTTGGGGAGGTAGAATCAATTTTTTTCACCTTAAAAAATGATTAAATTACTATCGGCTGTTACTTAGGGTTGTTTTAACAATGAAAAGAGATAGAATGGAAAAGCACTTACCATAATGCTAGCCTATCTCAGACTCTAGAAATGTGTGAAATACATACATGCATACGTCCTCCCCTCCCTCCCTTCCTCCTTCCCTCCCTGTCACTTTTCTCTCTCTCTCTTCCCCATGGCTTGATCTTGAAGATCATACATATATGTTCACAAAATTCTAAAAAAAAAAACAATGAAATCCTGCTAATCTCAACAAAAATGTTTTGAAGAGCAGTTTTAATGATGTTCAAATTATACACATTTTTTACATTTTTATATGTTGGTCTCTCAAAGTTTCCTATAAACAACAATCTAAGGTACAGTCCCTTAAAAAACCAGACTATGCGTTTTTATGTTTAGATAGATCGGCGAACTGGTTAAACATCTGAATCACATTTGAAATCTAGACAAAGATGGAAGGTGGATGAATGGCCCAAATCTTTCCTACCAGAAAGGATCCAGGCTATGTGGGGAGTTTCCCAAACCTACTTAGCATAAAATTTATTTTTTAACAAGAAAATAAATAGGTTACTTTCAAAGTATGAGAAAAATTTTAAACCTACAGAAAAGCTGAAGTGAAGTAATATTTCTTTTTCCTTATTTTTAAACTTAAATATTAAATACTCACACTTATACTCTTCTACCCGTTTAGAAAGAAATCACTATGCTAAACTATAAAATAGTTAACATCATATACAAATGTGTCTTAACTAAGATATGCTAACAAAAATTACTATATAGTCTCATAAACATTTAGTTCACTTTGCTATAAGTTCATTCAGCCCTAAAAATTTAAGTTCATCTCCTGTACTTGCATAGAAACCAACTTTCGACATTTATTAAAATTTTTTCAAATCCTTTCAGCATTGTACAATCTATCATCTTTCAAATCAGATGAAGTAATTACATAATTTTATAACTTACTATGAAAAGTTATTTTCTTTCCAATGTCTATTAATTTGATTTTTATTCTGCTGGGGAAATTTTCTCTCTCCTATTCATTAACCTAATCTGAAGGGATTGCCCAACCAGAACAAGTAGCTGCTCCTCTTATATTCTTCATTAAAAATAGTTCCTTCAGAACTAGCCTCATCTTCAACATTAGGATCCTTCACCTCAATGAGTTTAAACCCTATACCAAGTGCATTCACAAAAGAATTAAATGGAGGGTAGGAGATCTCCCCCGCCCCGCCCCCACCACCATTCTAGTCTGGTCTCCATTATTTATCGTATTACCTTGGTACTTAACTTCCCTCACTCTAAGTTGTCCTACCTATGAAGTGAAGATGTATTAATGATCTCATAAGGTCAGGAGGGAAGTATAATGGCACTAGGGAGTAACAACTATAAAAATGCTTAGAATTGCTATTAAAAAATGCAATGTCACAAAAGTAAATGTAGCAAAAAAATTTGCAGTAGTTCTTTATACAATGCTCTTCAGATCCAAGCCCTTCAAATGCAACATCAGATAGATAATACTGTTTGATATTAAAGGAGGAGTATCACAATCTAGAATTAGAGCTCTGATAACAAGACACAAATGCTAATGACTTAGTATGCGATATTGCATACCCATTCTCAATGCTTAATCTATAACTTGAGTAAATGTATTGATTATGATAACATTTGTAGTGAAATCTAGAAAACACATATAAAGTAGTATAAGAAGAGTAAACCTTGATTAATCAAAATGCTTAGAAGAGAGGGGTTCACTTATGGGTCACAACCCATCATCAATGACCTCAGATACCTGTTTTGGAGAATAAATTCCTAATTTCAGTTTACTGCGTCAACACTTACTTCCTACTACTTATATTTCAACAAAGGAATAGTATTCTGCTTTCTTAAAGATTTTTCTTTCATTATAATTAATCAAGGAATCTAAAAAATTACAATACCTAGTGATTTAGTAAATATAATAGCATTTTCAATTTACAGAATTTATAATTCCACTACAGTTTTCCACATGCTTCTTCAAAGACCCCAATATTATGTGGTTCAGTTTCACAAACTAAACCCTCATTTCACTAACCATCTTTTCTGGTCTCAAAATTATTTTACCTAGTATCTCTTATAAGACATCATTATATTTTTTTAAAGCTTGGTATCCAAGGTTTCTAGTTTTAATACCCCTCCCAAGGATTATAATAGTTTCTCCTTTCATGGTGAATTTAAAATTTGAGTGAACTTACTTTCTTGTATTGCATTAAGAATCTCTGAAAAGTCCACATCACTCTTTGGGCCGTCAGGTAGTATTTGCATATCCAACTGGTAGCCTTGCAAATCCACACCTCCTTCTAGAGAAATGAAAGATATTCATGGAGTTTGCACCGGTTATCAGAGAGCCCAGCATTAGGGTCCCAAGGAGAAATAATGTCAAAATCTAAAATGAATAGCAGCTGGTTTGCCAATGATCCTCCCTCTTGGACAAATGACTTTCAAAAAATTATCAGCTACTTGCTCCTTACAGGGCCAAAAAGGTTTAATCGCATTTTCAATGCAAAAACAAGGCAACTACTTTATTGCAATACCACATTCTTTATACTGCATTCTTTATCAGTATTTACTGATGATTTCCTAGGTGAAGAGTATAACACGGTAGCCTGCACCTAAGGATATTTAAAATTATTTTCAGCTTCTATATGGCTATTAAGTAATATTCAACACAAACACTTTGATACATATTCTTTTAAAATTATAACAATTCATTTGTATAGAAGGATTTAATATTCTTGATATCAAAGAAAAAATGTATCACTTTTTCCTTTACAGTTGGACTTCTCCATATATCATGTATTCTTTGAATTATATCACAATACTTTTATTTATTCTATAAAGTAATTAAGCTCTTGTACTAGTTTTATCTGATGTATTTTTGCTATATTCTAAAGATTTTTATGCTGTTCGACATACCTATAGAACATTTAAGGAAGTCAAAGAAACCAAGATCTCAAGAAGCAACTTTATCATAAACAATTATAAACCTCTGAATACTTCTTAAAGTACCAGTAAGAACATCTTCAATTGGAGGAGTCTGGAAGGACTAAAAGCCAGTGCTAAAATAAACACATAGTCTGATGAATACAATCAGGCACAGCCTAACTTCCAATATTTTGGTAAAATAATTATTGTATAAGCCCAGAAATTATTCTTAGCTTTGAATAAAATTTCAGTTATATCTCTAAAACTCGAGAGAAATAAGACACTCATTGTCTTATAGGCATGCTCCTTCTAGGAGGAAAATGAATACTAGTAACCCAAATATAATAGAAGGTAGGCTTTAAGAGGGCAGAGACTTTTGTCTGCTCTAACTTAGCACTTAGAACAGGCCAGCACAGAGTAGGAGCTCAACAAATGTAGACTGAACAAATGAATGAGGCTATGCAATAATTACGAAACAAAGGCAGCAGAAATACAAGTAAAGCTAAAGGCTCAGATTCTGGAGTCAGGCAGACCAGCATTCAAATTCTTATTAGATAATATTAAGTCTCAATAAATCTTAGTTTCCTCATCTATAAAATGGAGGTGATAAAAACAGTCTCACAGAGTAGCCCTGAGGACTGAATGAGAGAATGCACAATAAGCTTTTAGCTGTCACACAGTCGGCACTCGGTAAATGGAAGCCATTACTATCACCATTCACAATCATTTATTAGAGCAAGACTGGTATTTATATAGAAACTAGCTATTGAATAATGAGCAGAAAGGTGTAAGTCAGTTCTTTGGGAATGTCGAGCAATGCAGACACAGCAGGGAATTTTTTAAATGCCTGTATGCAGTTGCCTCATAGCGAAGTGTGAAGTTATCTTAAGACTGAGCTTCCCAATGGGACAGAAAGAACAAAGATGCTTTCTGCTGCCTAGAATTAAAATGGGTTATTTGCTTTTTTTTCCCCATGGCCAGCTACTTTGAATGGGTAGAAAAAAGTTCTAATGCTTGTCGACCTCTACTAAGGCTAGTCACCTTTGTTTTGTTCAATAACCAAAGACCTCACAATGACAATGAAAACAAAACACAAGTACATTCAATATCACCTATTTGCCAGGTTCTGAGCTATGTACTTTATTATCTCATTTAGTCTCTAATCTTGAAAAGGAGATGCAGTGAGAAGAGATCCTTTGCTCAAAGTCACACAGCTACTAAGTTGTAATGATATAATACCAATCCACGCTCTTAACTGGTACCCAAGCAGTCAAATATGAGGCTGTTCGAAATAAAATAATTGGATTTACCAAAATCCCATGTTCTAGTACTTCGGGCCAAAATAAAAGCTATTATATAACCTAAAAAGCAAGTGACTTCCTAAATAGACTAACAGAAGCCCACTATATTTGCTTATTGTTCGTGGTAGTCAGTAGTTCATAAATTTATGTAGTAGTTATGACTACAAAATAATTATAATTTTAATAACTAAAATTCCACAAATTTTTAATCAATATTTTTATTAGAGGACATTATAAGAATATAAGAAGTTTCAAAAGAAGCAACATGAAGGAGGCATTTAGGTCATTAAATGCTTAAGAAATAATGAAAAAGTGAGGAAAATGGATATAAGGAAACAGATTATGTCTCAAGTATATTAAAAACACACACCCTGTCTAAATGACTAGAAAAAAAGAAAAATACTTCAAATGGGTATAGAAGTTATCTCTCAGCTGTAAAATTATGGGTATATTTTGATTTATTCTTTATCTTTTCTATGTTTTTCACAATAAGAATAAAATATTTTTATAATTTTAAAGTCATTTAAAAATTCAGATTGTAGCAGTGGAGGTTATTAAGTATTTAAAGCTGAGGATTCAAGACAAAGACTACAGATGTTAAACCACTAAGGAACTGATTTAATATAAGATTTCCTACATTGAGATCACATTAGAATCCCTTAAGTTATTTTTCTTTCTCTGCTCTAGAAGAAACATAAAATATACTTTCAAAAAGTATAATATAATGGTCCGGAATTTCTGGCAGTAAAGTCATTCATTCAAATCGAACATGACAAAGCAGGGGCTCCTTTAAAACAACTTTTGTAAACTTCCTAAATGGAAAGTGATCACTCTCAGATTGATCTTGCAAGGACACTCTCAAATTAATTCTTCAAGGTGACAATGTTTGCCTTTAGCACTTACTGCCTAAATGAAAGAGACAAACTAAATTCAACATACAAAAAGTTGTATGTTTATTTTGAACTTTTGATATTTAATTATTTATTGTTAGTGCTATAGTTTTGATGTGATTTCTAAAATGCTGAAAATCAGAGTTCTTCTATAGTTACAAATATCTCTACTTGGAGTAAAAACTAGGCAAGACAGTGAAGAGGTCATGCTTTCAAACTGAAGAATCTTTAAAATTTAACCCCACTTGGCCTCAGTAATTAACATGCAACTAAGTGCAGTCCCAAGGAAATGAAACAAATAAGTTACATTAAAAAATAAAGCTAAAAGATTCCTAAAGATGTGGACAATTTTTAAAAATCAAAAATAAATACAAAATTCATGTCATCACCAAATTTGCCTTAGCTTTTCTCACACTTGATTGTTAGGAGTGTTTGTACTCAACTCTTAATTGTGATTCTGTACTATCAGTGAAGTAGAAAGTAGTTTCAATAAAAAGTAACCCTGATACCAGCACTTACATTTAATAAAAGTTCTTTAGCTGAGCAAACAACTTTTTAAAAATCCATTTTAGATCCGTATCCAGCTTACATGAATTTTAGCCAATGGCTTATATGTACAAAAGGAACCAAGGAACAAGCTCCAAACAAAAGTTTCTTGAGTAGTAAACATGTCGATGCCTTTCCCATCTCATCTCTGTCTAAAGAAATTCCTTTCTACTTTGAAGGCCCATCCTAAATGCTCAGCTTGATTCTAGCAAGTTAATAGCACGTACCGCCCACCAAACCCATACAGCTCTCCATATTTTATCTTTTCTATGATACATGTTTTCCATCAAAAATAACATAGGTAAAGTATCTAGCATGGTGTGGAACAGACACAAACACAATGTGAGTTCCTGTTTGTTCCCAACTACATGTCCTCCTCTCCCAGCTAGACTAATGTGATGGAGGCCTGGGACCAAACCACATTCACCTTTTTATCTCCCACAGAGCCTAGAACAAGGCCTTGAAAAAAAATTAGTTGCTCGGTTATTGCTTTAACTGCAATTTCACATTATTAGTAACAATAATGGATATAGACTAAGAAAATGTCCTCATTTTCCTCTAGTCCACAATTTTAAGGAATTCTTGAGAGGTTATTTATAGGCGATCGCAAAAGACACATTCTAGATTGTACATTTGCTTTTTTTGGTAAAATCTTTTTAAATTCTGTCAGATAATAAATTTTAAAACTCTTCAAGTACCAAAGGGCTTATAATGTAAATCAACAGTTGCCAACCCCATTCCTTTCTCAACCCCAGTACCATTCCTTTTAGGAGTTTGTGTTTTTACTTCTTTTGGATATATCCATGAGTCTATTCCATTGTTTCTGGATCATCTTTACACATTACTTACTGTCTTCTGCTATGATACAAGACAATCTAACTTAAAAAATTTTTTAAAAAGACAATATAACATCTTACTGCCACTCTCCCTTGCCCTCCCCCACCCGTCAATCACTATTCCTAGCTGTTCTATTATATTGTTTCAGTTTAGAAACTTTAAATAAATTACTTAAAATTCAATTTCTTGTTCAATCAAATATAGACAGTTCTTGAATTTAAAAATTAACACAAAATAGCATAAAAAGCAGATTTTGACACTACACCGACCTGGATTTGAATCTCATGTGTATATGACTGTGAGCCATTAAATAATGAGCCTCATTTCAGTCATTTTTAAAATGAAAAAGATAAATTTTTGAGGCTCTATTGAAATCGATACACAATTATTTACATTCATGTAAATAATTTAGCTCATAGTGTTAGATTATCATGATCCACTGAAAACTTTGTGACATATTCCTTCTCTGCACAATGAAGTTCAATTCCAGGTTTAGGGCCTAGACTAAATTAAAAATGATTCTGTAAAAAAAAAAAAAAAAAATCCTGTAATTGGACTTGGAATAGTATTACATATTGAAACAGAAATAAAGTGTGACAAATCAAATTTTACCTTCTCCATGAAACCATAAAAGATGGAGGACTCCGTAAAGTAGGCTTAAGGAGACAAATAGTATTTCCCATGATTTCCTCATAATAAATGATCCTAGATTTGAGCTGCTATCGATATTCTACTTATATTCCGCAAATAAAAATCAGTAGTGCCTGTCCTGAGAAGTGTATTTAATATCAATCCTCAAAT